TTTGGCTAAAGCAGCAGAATCCCTATGGTTCCTGATCTCCTCATGCCTCTTCCGAAGGTGCTTTATTCTGTCACCAAACTTATGGAAGTAGTCACCCCCCCCCCCCCCCATCTCATCAAACGATATCCACACTACTGCTGACAATCCAGCAACCCCTGAGCCCTCCCACCTTGCCAAGCAGTCTCAACCACCTCCCTACAGCCATCATCATGGAGCCAGGCCATCTCGAACTTAAAGCTCCTCGAATTTCTACCCCTCTGTATGCATGATGCATTAATGTTGAGGAATAGAGCCGAGTGATCCGAATTATGCATTATAATATTTTCAACCTCAGCACCACCGTTCATATCACACCAACTAGTCATGGCCAGAACCTTGTCCAGACGCTCCTCCAACCACCCCTCCGTCCCCTTACTCTTTTCCTAGGTGTATTGGTGACCCCTCATTGGCAACTGTAACAAACCACAACCGTCCAAGGTATCCCCAAAGCCATGTAAGAGTCTACTCGGATGCGGATTCCCCCCCCCCCCCCCCCCCCCCCCCCCCCTCTTCTCATGCTGATAAAGTAGATCATTGAAATCCCCCACCACTACCCATGGGAGGTCCAATTTACCACTCAAAGTCTGTAACAGTTCCCACGACTCCCTTCTTCTATGTCGCTCTGTAAAACCATAATAGCCTGTAATTCGCCACACTAGCCCATTCGTGTGACTCACCTCCACATCAACATAATTTTTCAAATAACTTAGCAAACGCGCCGTGTTATTCTTCTTCCAAAACAGAGTTATTCCACCACTATGCCCCGTACCATCAACGTAAAATAATCCTTCAAAACCAAGACGTACCCGGAGATGTTCCGCATGCACACGCCCCACCATTGTTTCCATTAAAAACACAAACTCAGGCTTCTTACGGGACACTAGGTCCTCAACTTCCTGAACTGTTCGTGGATTGCCCAAGCCACGACAGTTCTAGCTTATGATACTCATAATGATGGGCGGGTCTGGGAGCCAGAACCCGCCATAAACAAGTTTTTTGGAACCTCGGTCATTGTAACATCCTCCCCTCGCCCTTCCGACCTCCCACCACCCGTGAGGTCCTCCCTACGTCTCTTCGCAACTGCTATCACCAGGCCCTCGGCCTCCTCCCGGACACCCCCCTCGACTGCCATACCCATATCCAGTGTTACGCCGGTACCCATTTCCCCGGTTACCTCCCTCGGCTGCCCCACCGGCGGTAATAACCAACTCTCACCAACCGCCCTAGGCCCACGCCGGAACCCTGCAGCATCTCCCCAGAATACGGATAGTCTTCAACAGCCAACGTTGACTCTCGTGCATGCAAACAAAACTTATAGAGATGGCCTAGCTTGCCGCAAAAGAAACAAAAATTATGCAGACGTTCATACCTGAACTCCACGCAACATGTCGTTCTATCCCGCTTCATAAACCTCATTCTTCGACGCAAGGGTTTATCAACCGGTATTGCCACTCTAATGCGATAAAACTCCTTCCACGGAGCCCCCACAAACCTGTTATCCACCTTAATAAACAATCCCAAGGTGTTCCCAATCTGCCCCAATATCTTATCCGACGTATATCCCATCGGCAAGGCATGTACCTGTATCCACATATCAAGAGTGTCCAACCGCACATCAGTTGGCAACACCCCATCCGCAAGTGGCCGGCACACCAGTGTAGCATTATCATACGCCCACGGGCCCTCCTCCATCACAGGTTCCAAATCTGTTCTATGGTGGAAAACAAACATGAACAGCCGGGGTTGTATTTCCGTGACCTGCATGCCCTTTACCGGTTGCCAAACCGACGCCAAGACTTGGCTCATAAACTCAATTTTCACCAACTTCCGCGTCAGAAATCTTCCAACTAACCGCCATGTCTGCTCGTCTCCGGTCGCACCTGCTACTGCATCATCCGGCGCCGGCTCAAAGGTGAAATCATCCTCGTCTAATGCCATATCACCCCAACGCTCTGTTATGGCCGCGACACCTTCATCCACCTGCGGTGTCGACATTAGGCAAGACAAAGATCTGAATTAGGAATTTGATCTGTCGTACTGCTACGTAGAAACCGGCGATTTGCCGTAGAAAAACCAAGAAACGGTAGGGAAACCCTATAATAGCCTAGAGAGAGAAAAAAGTCTTTGGGATTAGATCAAGAATAGTACCAAAATTACATGAATCAAAAGACAACAAATCTTATATCAGCATTCATAATCTTCTTGTGAACAAATGGCATAAAATCCCTATATCACCATTCATCATCTTCCTGTGAAAAGACAAAACACAAGTTAAATATAACCAATTAAATAGTTGGGGCTGTTGGGCAGAAAGAGGGAAGGCTCAGATTGCTATGTTTTCATGTCAAAGTAAGATTGGGGGCAAATTGCTACTTTAGTATTGGAATAGAAACCAAAACTAATGAGCAACATACCAACCCAAAACCATTTCAGACAATGGTACGTGGAAGCATCATCATAGCCAAATAGTCAATTAGTATAGTAAATAGTAATCAGTAAAGAGAAAAAACAGAATGAGAATTTCTAAATTTAAAAATATGGGGGAGTGACTGGTATTACCAGATGTCCAGTTCATATAGGCAGTACTAGTAGGCTGATACTGTTATACCTGATGTTGATGACCTGATGGGATCATACTTATCATAGTATCATTGTGATACTATCATAGGAAAGAGATCAAACTCCTCAAAAGATTGAATAGAATCAAAGGCAGCAACAAGCCAACAAATCCAACAATTGAATTATTAGTAGTTACCAAGCCATTGTCCTTAATCCACTTTTCCTCATTGAAAATCAAATTAGAATTCAGTGAAATCACATATCAGTATATCACAGGAAAATGGAATGAAAGATGGTAAATAAAGCATTACAAGAATGGTAGGAAGGGAAGAACCAGCAGCCCCATGTCCTATGCTTCCAATTCCACTTATTCCAGTAGCCAACTCTGCAAAGTGCACATAAAAACAAATAAATTAGAATTTGAATCTAAATTTAAAAAGGTAAAAACAGAATGTATACTTTAAAGAAATTACCTTGTTCAAGTTTTTCAACATTATCAATATTTTCATCAACCTTAACTGGTTGATTTGGTAACACCAAACAGTCTTGTGCACAGACTAGGGCCTCTACAATTTTAGGAGTTAAAGAACTCCTAAATGCCTATAATACCATCCCACTAGTACTAAATGTACTTTATGAGGCAACAGTGGAAATGGGAACTGCTAGGATATCTCTTGCCATTTTGGAGAGATTAGGAAACCTCTCACTATTTAGCTTCCACCACCTAAGGATATCAAAGTCAGGAGAGTCCTCCACAAATTTTTCACTTAAATAGACTTGAAGCTTTGTTTCTTTACAGCTTCCACCAGCCTCCATTTTTTGCCTTTTGAGTTTATTTTTAACATACACTGAGGTCTACCAACTGTGGTATGAGATTGGACAAGAGGCACAACTGGTTGGCTATCAGAAGATGATTGTTGCACATTGACAGAGTAGGTTGCTGCATAGTCACCAAACAATTCTACCCTGGCAGCTTGGATCTTCTCTAAACACTTCTTCCCATTATCTTTACCATAGAGTTCCTCAAATTGGTATGGCATATATTCCAACTTATCTCTTGGGTCCAAGATATTGGCAAAGAAGATCAAGAAATTCATTTTTTTAGGATCTCCCCAATACTTTTCAAATTTAGATTTCATTTGGGATCCCATAACCTAAGAAAACAATGAATTAAATACAAATAGCGAAACACAATTTCAGAAATAAGATTAACCACTGAAAATGACAAAATCATAAATAAGATTGATCATTACCTCTATAGAATTACCAGCAATAATCATGCTACTCAACATGCAACTCAAATCAGATATCTGACTGAAGAAACTGTTAGAGGTGACATATAGAGAACCAGATATTCTCACTGTCATATCATAAAACCCTTTCAGCAGAACTACCATGTTTTCAACAGAACACCAGTCAAGAAAAGAAGGGACAGAATCACCAAGATCAGCAGAAAATGAGGGCTCATTCAATGAATATGCATCAAACACACTCTTGTAAGCAATGACAGTGTTAAACATCATGTATGTGTTGTTCCATCTTGTTGGAATATCTAGCTGTAAAAAACATTTTGTTTCCACCCCAAGCAGTTCTGCAAGCTCTTTGAATTTTTTGAGCCTTGCAGGTGAGTTCGTCATCCATCTAACAGGATCTCTGACCTTCTTAACAGAACTATCTGCAAATTTTAACCCATCCTGGACCACCAGGTTTAAAATGTGGGCTATGCACCTCATGTGCATGTAGTTACTCCTAACAGTGGTTGTACCCCAAGACGACAATTTGGACTTAAAAAAACCCATAGCAGTATCATTGGAAGATGCATTATCTACAGTGGCAGAAAAGACATCCCTAATCCCCCAGTCAATCAAACAACTCTCTAATGCCTTAGCTATATGCTCCCCCTTGTGAGAAGAAATAGGGACAAAGGATATGATTTTCTTATTTAGTTTCCACCATTCATCTATGAAATGGGCTGTCATATATCAGTAGTCAAACTAACCCTTTGAGTGTTAAGTCTAAATAGCTTCTTAAGGTTTAATCTTTCATCAAGGTAAATCTAGTAAATGTTCCTTGAAATTGTCCACCTAGAAGGTATACAAAATCTAGGGCAAGCAACCAAAATAAACCTTTTAAACCCTTGCCCCTCCACAAACCTAAATGGAAGCTCATAAATAATAATCATCTCACATAATGCCCTACTAATGGCTTCCTGATTGAAAACTCAAGTCCCTAATTCCCACACTACCCCTTCAGAACCCCCCTCAGTAGTAGATGTTGTCACATCAGTGAAAGTAAGCAGTGACTGCCTAGTATCCTTAGAGTGAGGATTTTTTTAGACAGCCAACCATATGATTCCTTAAAGATGAAGTGCCATGCTTTAGACTCACATGCAAAGAGTCTAGCACAGTATATGCATTTCCTCTTTATTAATTTTCCTTCAGAATCATGGATCTTTTCAAAATGATCCCAAACTTTAGATCTAGACTCAACCTCTTTCCTCTTCTTTGCAGGAACAACAGAATTCACCTGAGGCTGCTGAGCAGTTGTCTTAGTGCCTTGGGCTAGTCTTCCATGTCCCTCCTGAGTTGAGGGTTGAGTCCAGAATCAGTGGCACTGTCCATCTATAAAGATGGGCACCACTTTTCATTATTCAATTTCCATCAACAACTCAACAAGTGAGCAACCACATATTAAACATACAAAGATCTAGAATCAGACACAATAGTTTGTGTCATCATTTTTCCAGATTTCACAATTAGCACTTAAGGGCCATACATCCATAAACCGATAAACATAATAACATATACAATTATACAAACAAATCCAGATTCAGGAACTCATTCCAGTTCATCATTATCTGGATTTGAGTTAAGGGCTTCCACCAATAAATGGAAATTCCAAAATTGGAGATTTCACATTTAAGCCTTTAACTCGGATTGGGACATTACAAGGCAGAAATCACAAGTTCACAACCATAATATATCACAATATTCACAAATCAACAAGCAGAAATCAGTTTCTCAAGGACTTCCACCAATAAATGAAATAATGCCATAATATATCACCAAATATTCATCACAGTCTCACAGAAGAGACAGAAGACAACAAATCACAATACATCTCACATAAATCAAGATATATAAAATTAGGGTTTTCGATTTCACAATGCTTTCACCAAATATTCATCATAGATCATCATAATATAACAAAAAGTCACAAACAGTTCATAATATAAACTAGGGTTTACGAATTACTTGATTTCTCCCAAATAATCCCTGGAGAACAAGGGTTTCTAATCACCAGTTCACCATGTCTTCCACCACTCCAAGTCTCCAAGTCTCGACTTTCAACGCCCACCGGAGAACTAGAGACCACAAAAATCATAATCGGACTATCGGAGAAAAAGAGAGAACTCAAGCTCAGAGAGTGAGTCTTAGAGAGAACTCAGTCTAAGAGTCTAAGACTAAGAGAGTAAGAGATTTAGAGATTAGAGAATTGGAGAACAACGCAGAGAAAAGAGAGACAAGAGAGTAGAGACTACAGAGAGTCTAAGACCAGAGAGTCGAGAGAGAACAGAGAAATCTCAAACCCTAGGTCAGCTGCGCAAATGGGAGAATGAAGACCAAGTCTCCATCAGCATGTATATATACACAGATGAAACGACGTCGTTTAGTACTATGACTACGCAGCCCTAAGGATGTTCGGGTTTTCGGGCGGGTCGGATATCAAAATATCCCACCCCACCCGAACTCCTTAAACCGACGACATTTTGGTATGCAGATCGGATAAGAAGCTTTGGATTCGAACGGCGTCGGATAACCTCTTTTCAGTTGTCGGGTCGGCCGGGTTGTGCACAGGCCTATTTGACACCATAAGAAATCAAATACGAAAATAATAGATTCCGCTTTAGTGATGTTGTGTTCTAAGCCTTTAACCAATTCACATGTTTAATTTTGAGTTCTTACTAGATTAATTTAATTTGTTAAGACACGATATGAACTCACATTAATATGTTAAAATTATTGTGTGTACAGGTTTATATAAATTTATTACACAATATACATTAATGACATGTTTACTATTATAATTTTTTATTTAGATTAAGGGTTAATATTTGATGCACCATCGATGTATAGATGTTATATACTGACGGTGAAGGAGAATAAGAGATTAATGAGAATTATTATTATGAACATTAAATAATATTTAAAAATGAAAAAAATTTAAATGGAACTATAAAATATGTTCATACTACATAGCGGCTAACCTACATACTATATTTTTGTTTTCCAGTGTACAAGTAAGTTTGGTATGTCCTTTCCTTTTGCAAGTAAAACATGTAATTCCATTACTTTTAAACTTTAAAGCTCCTTTCATTGACTGAGGACGACCTTTAAATTTAGGAGTTTAGGGGTTTAAATAGATTTATGAGTTTAGATAAACATGGGAAATTAGATGATTTTTGTTAATTAAAATTAAAGAATTCTTAATTATAAATATAATAATTTAGAAATTAAAGTCAGTTCAATTCTTAATTATACTAATTTAATGTTAATTAAGAGACCTAATTATTTCTAATTATCATATTTGTTAAATTAGTATAATTATATCATAATTGTTAAAAGTAAAATCAGAATAGAAAGATAAGGGAGAAAGGGAGAATCATCTCTTCATTCATTCTTTCCACTGTAAGAATATATATATATATATATATATATATATATATATATATATATATATATATATATATATATATATATATATATACAAGGTAACGTAACGGAAACAATAATGGAAATAATTACATAACTATTACAACCGTTATAATACTATATAATAATGTCCATAATAAGTATAATATTTATAATACTCTCCCTTGGACATTATTTGACCACGATCTTGTCTCGTCAAAAACTTGCTAGGAAAACTCGGTGGGAAAATCTAGACAAGAAAAGAGTAAAACAATAGAAAATATATTCATGCCTCATTAAAAACTTCACTAGGAAAACCACGTGGGAAAAATCTAGTTGAAGAAAAGAGTACATGATATATGTAAAAACATATATGGTATTGGCCGTCTCATTAAAAACCTTAACTTAAGAAAACCTAGTGTGAAAAACTTATTTAAGGGAAAAAGAGTACGACCATAAGCCTTCAGGGCGCAAACTGCATAATCTTCAGGATTTTGGGGTTTGTCCATTTAAGCAATTATTTTGCAACTTTTCCCCATTGTCATTACTCTATCATACTCACACCTCGTTAAAAACCTCATTAGGAAAACCACGTGGGAAAAACCTAATTGAGGAAAAGAGTGCATGATGTATGTGTATTCTTGTTTTAGATTAGTTGCCTAATTAAAAACCTTAGATTTATGGAAAAACCCCGTGGGGAAAAAAATTTAACTAAGGAAAAAGAGTACAACCGTTAGTCATCAATCTTCAGGATTGATTCATGTAAATTATACTCCCCCTCAAGATAACAATCTTGGTGTCCTATACATTAAATTTCCAAAATGTATAGATGAATTTTGTAAATAAATATGTATAATTGTCAATGGAACAAATATACTTTATAATAATCGCGTGACTCTTCTGGAGCTCACGTGGGTATAAGATTGAAACCATAATATCTTAGTCAAAAGATTTCATTATATATTATTTTATCATTTCGAGCTACACAATATTTATTGTCTTTTTACAGGACAATGGGGGTAAATATAGTACAACCAGTTTTGGGACTTGGCATTATGGAGATACAAAAATAATAGCCAGTACCCAAGTAGCCCATTATATATTATTTTTATAAGTATCTAATCAAAATCAAGTATTGGCTAACTGTTGTAATAAAAATTCTTCAAGGAGAAACTCGATTTTCAAGTCGAGATAATACTTAGTTTTCCCAAGCTTTTGTTACAAAATCTCCGTCTTTAGACATGAACTGATATCATCAAGCTCTTTAGATATTTCATTGATGCTTATACCATCAATATTGACTGAGATAATAAATAAGTCAATTATCAACTCTTTATTGAACACATAATGGTACATATTATTCCTTCTACATGAGGATAATAACCTCATTCGCAACTCTTTAAAGAGTAAATAATGGCACATAATAATACTTAAATAAATCCTCATTTCGGGAATTATAAATCCATAAGGAATTTTATAAATTTAACTGCATATCTAAATTTATTATTCTGCCAATTGTATTATGTAGTGGAACTTAATGTCATTTACCGTGGGAGAGTATATTTGATTAAAATCAATTACGGGTCTCTGCGTGAACCCATAGGCTACAAACTCGCTTCATATATTATCACCTCGTTATTCTTATTTCTCTTTCATGCACACACCCATTTGTAACCTTCAAGGTTAATGCTCAACGGTGTAATGTTATAAAGAGAATTTGTTCATTTTAGCGAGTCGAGCTATGCCTTAATTGCTCCTTTATATGTTAAATAGTCATGACACTTCCGGTGTCTAACTCTGGATCCAGATTATCATATAACGAGCAATTTGTAATGACAATTGTGTTGTCGACAACTATAACCTTTTTATAAATGTCTCCCATATTTGTAAAAGTTAATGACAATTTTCTAAAACAACCAGATTCTAGACATTTCCCAAAGATATTTTTATCTGGTCGTTCCACATTCCTAGTATTACGTTTGTTTGGTGCACCTATAAATTTTACTAGGGTTTTTCGTCATTTGGACGAATGTCTGCATGACATAATTATTCAATGCTATTTCAAGAGTGACAATGTTTCTTTACTAGATCTAGTATTATGATTCATATCTCTTTCACGCATAGATCTTCTACACTTCTAGTGTTAATGAGTACCGGTGGATATATTTGTTCCAAGTTTGGGGAAGGTATATGGGACTTAGTCACTCTTTTTATGATCCGTATGATCAATAGATATATTTGGCAGATTATTTGCTAATTTTCGCAAATAGATTATCTTCTGAACTTCCAGTTCAGTCTAACTAATACGTGGATTTAAATAGTGATTATCTTTTCATTTTATGAAGTTTCTCGACATTCTATTAAATTTGGGTTCATATCTCCCCCTAATGCCGTGAACCGATGTTCATAAAGTATGCAGTCAGCGTACCTTAGCTTATTACTTAGTGACCCCCTATCATGGGCTCTGAGTATATAGGTATCAAGCGGATATTGATATGCTCAACATAGCCCTAGAGGTACGCTATGGTGGTGAATTGGTGATACAAGAAATCAAACTGCATACTAATAATAAAACGCAGATAGGGAAATTGTAGATTTTAGACACGTACTTAGTATATGGGGAGAAAAAATATGATATGCAGTGAGTCAGATTTGGACTCATAAATATAGTATATGAAATTGAATGTCCCCCCAAAAATAGATCATTTAAAAATTTGCTTCAGGCTAACTAACATGATGTGATTCATTTCTAAACTTTCAACCAAATTTCATGTAAAATAATAATTATATCATGTAATCATATCGCGATAATATCATAAACTATTTTTGGTAGTGATGGGGAATATACCTCGGGTTCAGGTTCCCCGTACGCTCCCGTGCTCCTACTTGGGTCGGGTTAAGCAGTTCGGGTCAAGGTCAACCGACCAACCCTTGACCCTATAAAAAGGGCCTTAGCCCTCCAAGTTAGGGTGTCCTCTCCTTGCCCTCCTACACTCCCTCTCTCTACAATGGAAATCTCTCCCTTCTCTCTAAAACAACACAAGAGCCATTGTGAATAAAGGAACCATTGAACTATATTTTCCTCTTGTCTACACACATTATGGTTCATACTTATTACATACGGTACAGACATCCTACTACGTGGGAATTACCCGTATCAGGTAGAATAGCATAACACTAAAGATAGGAAGTTAAGACTTCTTCCATGAGTCACAAGTCATGAACCATTAATCATCCAAAGATTATATAATTCTCTTATGAGGTCTTCTAGACCTTTATTAGGAGAACGGTCCAATTACAAGTCACATTGTTAAATAGAGAAGGCTAATAACTTATAGTATATTCCCACATAAACTAAGTTTTAGATGTATCTTTCAAAATGCAATGACACTCAAAACTTAGTATAGTTTTGCTATGTACTACTACTGGAGTACAAGATGACTAGCCTTGAAGACAATGAGACTTACACTAGTGTTATGAATTCACCTTCCGTGCAAAACTATAGTCAATACTCACACTAGATATCACAATATTCAGACTCATATAATCTAATTGATATCACAAGATTAAACTAAGGTTTAACAACGACAGGTGCAACCTAA